GAATAGGGGTCAAGACAGGGGTACCTGTCTTGTTCCTTTTATTTCCCAGTTAGATTTTTTTGCATTTCTATCACTCTTGAGCCTCCTCCCAGGCATTTTAACACTTTTTTTTTACATGAATTCAGAGCCATATAAGTATCTAAACAATGGTAATGAGGAAGAAATATATAATCATAACTAAAACCAGATTGAGATCTACTAATTTAGACACATTGAAGTTCATCATGATTGACCATTGGGATTTGAGGACTTTATGGGAAGGCACTGGGGTTCAGCAGAAATTCCATTCAAAAGATAAGGACAATCTAATCCAGTGTTTCTCAGCCTTGACAACTTTGACATGTGTGAACTTCAATTCCCAGAATTCTCTAGCCAGCATGAAGTCCACACATGTCAAAGTTGCTAAGGTTGATACTGATCAAATCCTTTCCTGTTGCCTTTCTCCAGCAGCTTTCTGCATTGTTACTGTGGAGGGCTCTCTGGAACACTTTATCAAGAGGCACAGGAAGGAATAAGGAAAAAGAGATATCTTGAATATTACCTCCTGCTCCCTTCCTCCAGTCTAAATGCTATTCTGATCCAACCCAGAGCTACCTTCTTGGTGCAGAAATTTAGATGAGGTGACCCTTTAATTCTTTACTTAAGGTCTGTAATTTGATTATGTTGACCTGCAACAGAGAAAGATGCTTGCTTTGATGTGTTGTGGAATCTGGTTGCCAAGGATAATTTGTATTCCCTGCCCGCCCCCCAGCCTCTCTTGACATGTTTTCCCAATTTGAGAACATCCTTGAAAAGTTATTTTGTTAAATTTAGAAAGACAGAGGAGTGTGTCCTTTGATAAAGAATGCAGGAACAATTCTGAGGTCCACATTTCTTAAGTGAAGAACATGCTGCAATGTATCTACTCCCAGTCTCCATAAACACAGATGGATAGATTAAATCTATGCATTATCAGAATGGAAGAACTATTCTGATAGTACTGAGAACATATGGGAAAAACGGAGGAAGAAATAACGTTCAACCCTTACTTGGGAGATGTTCTGTTGGAATAACTCTAGAAAAACCTAGCTTGGATATACAGAGTTGCAAAAACCATGATTAAGGTAGTAGTGGGTTTGCTATATGCATTAAATAATACTGAGAGTTGGGGAAACATTTGAGATAATGGGTAATGTTTCAGAGGATCATTCATTATGTCCACTATTGTTTGGAATCATTTCTGTTTCTCTTTTGTCAGCAAAACCTCTCATAAGCATCTTTCTCTTCAGTCCTGGTTGATGCCATAAATGGGTATCAAAGATTCCATTTGCACATAGCTTGAAACAACTTGGTTGTAATGTACTTGAAGGAATTGCTATAACTCATCACTTTGGATGCCCCTGTAAGCATTTTCTTAGAACTAGCCAAGTTCTAAGATTTGTTATCTCATGCTTCATTTGGATTTTTTAAATTTTATTTTGCCAGGACTCCTTTATAAGATGCTGTGGCTTAGAACCTTTCTCAGTCTGGGTCCCTGTCAATGTGTCAAATTGAACTCCCCAGATTTCCAGATGGCACAGAAAGGAATTCTTTCTTAGGCTTCTGCATGTCTAGTTGGGCACTAGTTGTACCATTTACAGCCACAGATTCTACTAAAACCAGAGCATCTGAAAATGATCCATATTGCTTGCTGAATACTAAGATTATTTTGCATTTATACCAAGATGTGTGCTTTTGGTAATCAGTGAAGATTATAAGTGTGATCTGATCATAATGCCATGGACGGGCAAGCTTCCTCTCACCCCAGCTTGCATCAGGTGAAGTTTTTGGCACTCTTCAAGGCTGTGCCATAAATTTCCATTAATCTGGTCACATGAAACCAAGGCATGGTTGGTTGCAACTGGATAAGGGAAAAAATATAATCATCTAAAACACTCTTTGCTACCTTCATCATTTGGAAATTTAGACACAGCATCAGATCAAGGTATACTGTCAGATTGCTTTTACAAAGCTGCATAATTCTTGCAAGGAGATTCACATTTGATCTTAATGGCTCAGTTCTTGGATAGTTGATCTTAATTCATTCTTTAGAAGAGAAAAAAAACCTGTTTTAAATCAGTAGAGATTAAAACTATATTATAAAGCTTTATAAAAAAAGCAAAAAGGGGTAAGAGAAAAGATTCACATTTGATCTTAATGGCTCAGTTCTTGGATAGTTGATCTTAATTCATTCTTTAGAAGAGAAAAAAAACCTGTTTTAAATCAGTAGAGATTAAAACTATGGGAAGGAAACCATGCAAAAAGTATAGTATAGGTAGAACAGATTTTAAAAGCGGCAGAAAGTTCAGCTAGACCTAAAGCTGCTTCGTTTCCTGTGTGTAAGTCCCACTGCTCTCTGTGGCATCTGTAAGATCGCACTGCAGGTCTGCCCTTTAAAGCTGACAATACTAAGAAGGGACACCATGCAGCCTGCCAAGCATTACCTAAGCCTAATTGAGGGCAGTGATCCTGCAGTAGGTTTGCTTTTAATACATCTGTCTTCCTTTCTTTTATTTTAAATATAGATTTCTGAGAAATATGGCCTTCCAGCTGAGAAGATTATAAAGCTTTATAAAAAAAGCAAAAAGGGGTAAGAGAAACAAACAAGCCCATGTTTTTATAAAATAGTCCTGAGACCACAGCTCAGCTTCTAAATCTTTCATGCTCTGATGTGTGCTCACACTGCAAGACAAATTTCCAGCTACAGGTTCACACAAGGATTGCAGCAGATGTCAAATCAGCCACTGGCCTCTAATTAAACTGGGTGGTTCTGCTGTAGCATTTCTTAACTTGATGCTCTTCAGATGTGTTGAACTATGTGTCTCATTATTGGACAGCATGGAGATGCTGAGAATAGTGTGAATTGTAGTCCAGTTCTTCTGGAGAGCAGCACATTAGTGGAGGTGGTTCTTGGAAGCCAGCAGCTTGGGAAGGTATCTTCAGCATGGAAGCTATAGCAACAACATTTCTTCCCCTACCACTTGGGTCACCTGGGAAGCCACAGTAGAAAAGTACACACATACTTATTTGATGGGTCCTCAGTTCCCCTATTTGTTGCTAACAGTGCTCTTGGGACTTCCCAATTTGGCTTTGGACTTTGACCCAAGTAGCTTGGGACTAGGTATTGTTTTTATCAATACTACAACCTACAATGCTTTAACCCAGCCTTCCTAAAATGTTGGCCCTGGACATGTTGGCACATAATTTCAGCCACTAAAGATGAAAATTGAGGATTATGAAAGTTGTAATCCAGTAGCATCTGGAATTTGTGTTTTCCCCTTTCCTGCTATGGTGCATAGGAACTATTCTGTAAAAATATTTAGGCTGTATGTGTAAAAAAAATGCAATGAAATAATGTAAGACATTGCATAGGAGATTTAAGTAGGATTCCCCTAGCATGGACCTAACTGGAGAATTCATATGAATTTGGATCATTAATGATAGAAGCATATGCATATTTACACAGGACAAAGAATCACAAAATATTTTATGAGGCAACTTGGAGTTGGACAATTAGAAGATAATGAGCTTCCCTGTGGGTTTTGTCAAGGCACTCATACAAATGGTCAACATAAAATAAGATTCTCCTTGTACACAGTAGCTGAACAGTCAATCTAAATTTATCCCCTTATTGACTAGATTCCCACATCCCATCAAGCTATTGTTTGTACCACCATGATTTATTGAATAATCTAGAATTGGCTGTGTTCAGACAACATGCTAATCACAATGGCTAGGTTCATACAATAAGCTAAATCAAAATGAAAGAAACTGTATCTTGTACAAATTAGCCATTATCTGAACTTCACCAATATATCTCTTTCCTATTTCAGGATCTTGGTAAACATGGATGATAACATCATTGAACATTATTCCAATGAAGACACTTTCATCCTAAACATGGAGAACATAATGGAGGGCTTCAAGGTCACGTTGACGGAAATCTAGTCTAGACCAGCATAGACCTTGTGAAGTCACACCATTTTACCAAGGAAGGGAAAAAAAAATAATCAACCCCCCTGATTTCACTGTTGCTGAGAAGAAAGGTTGTTACAAACCTAAGTTGGAAACAACCACACTTCATTTTTTTGCCACTGGAAACCAGTTTGGCAATTACTGACCAGTCTGTTCAAAAGAACATACCTTCATAAAGTTCCTTATTTATTGCTCCTCACTCTGCAATATGTAAATAATCAGTGGACCCTAGACTTCACAATCTTGATGTTGCAAGGGTGAAACAGAGACTTTAAATAAAAACAAAAATAGTTAATACAAGGAAAATAATAAGTTGAAGAATTATGTCAGTTCCACTGGGACTTAATTACTGAAATTGCACCCTCTAAATGAATTGCTAGAAAGTCTGATGAGAGCTAACAATGGGCAAAGTGCCTGGTGGTGTTTGCACACCTACTGTATATAAAACTTCTACCTAGTGCTGAGTATCATGTAGCTTAGCCATTTCCCTCCAAGTGCTTCCCTGCACAGGTCAACTGAGGGCTTTAAGACTCTTAGATGGCATGTACTTTGTAAGTAAAACACCATCCATTTTACCTTCTGTATATATTGTTTATAATATGTAATAATATATTTTTCCTATCTGTGTGAATGTGTTTACTGCCACTCTATTCTGTGTCTGGATTAGAAGTTGGCAGAGCCCTTGGCCAAGGAGAAAGGATCTCTCACCAGCTGTTCGTTCTTCAGGGTTTTTGATACCTTTTGTTCAAGGCTTGTCCAGGAGCACATTAGAAAGTTAAAATTCCTTATTATCACAACTAAGATTATTCTTTCCCTGATATACCAGCCTGTCAGGCCTTCCAATGAGATGCTTTTTCTTACTGTTAGACTAGAACTCCTGTTAAGCCAGACATTTAACCATACAGAGTACAACTGAAGGCAGTTTTAGTCCAAAACATTTGGAGTGCACCAGCTTTCTAGAGTCAGATTTATCCAATTATGCTGCAGTCTTTCAGTTCCTGAAGTATTTTTCCTTTATATGTACCCTTCGATTTTTATGTTCTGTCCAATGCATCCTTGCTGAACAGAACTTAAATTTTTGCTGGGCGTCATGCAGGGAATCATAAATGAGGCATTTCTGTGTCATTCCCACCAATGGCTGCTTCCCATTTTGACCCAAGCTTTTCTAAAGAAATGTTATTCTTCCACTCAAGTTACCTCTGCTTTGAAGTTTCTGGCAATGTGAAGCCAAATCTGAGTTTAGCAAGATATTTTATTTTTTCCTTCCATTTTAGGGAAGTCATATGCTCATAAAACAATAGAACTGTAAAGTTTGAAGGAAGATTTGGAATCATCTAGTGAAGTCCAGCCCCCTGAACATGCCAAGATATACAGTGGAGGATGCAAGTAATGGGTCTAAACATCCCCTAGAGGGATCTCTAGCAGAGGAGAATCCATAATCTACTGCAGCAGCTTGTTCCATGTTCACACCATGCTTTCAAAACATCTCTTAATGCTCAGTTGAAATCTGCTTTCCCAAAATGTTCTCATCCTTTCTTCAGGAGCAATAGAGAACAGCTATGCCCAGTAGCTTTCCATAGATTTGAAGATTGTTACTTTATAACGTCTTTCCATAAAAAAGGGTCGGACTTACGTTTGTAAATACTGCACAAGTCCTGCTGCTTTTTCTTCTTTTTCTTCTTAACAATATCAAATCATACTCATGATTTGGGCTAGAAATGAATTCATTTGGTTTGTGTTTGACCCAAACTGAAATTTAGTTACTGATTAAAATTCACTTTTCTGAATCTTGTGGTTCATAGATGTGTAGAATGCATTTATTCATGAAATGCTATACAAAAATGCATTATATTAGGAGACTTATTTGTAAGAGCATGGACACGAAGAGATGTGCCCCAGAATATACATCAAATGTTAGTGCAGTCTTCATAGAAGCCATAAGTGCAACAAACCAAACCTGAGAAATTTGCAGAAATGAGCATCTGAGAATTAACTTGCGATTCACAAGAATTAGGGACTGAAAAAGAAATGAAATTGATCTCTATCCTGTGCTCATCTCTATCCTGTGCATGGTGTATATATATGTATATATATACAACTTGAGTTTTGATAGAGTTTTTGGCATTGCAATTCATATCGAAATGCATTTTGTGAACTGCATATTTATTGAGGATATTCTACGATATGCATGAAGAGGGGGTTTTTTTCCCCTTTAATGGAATTAATCCAAAGAACTGCATGCCAGCTGGATCCAATCGCCTGAGTGAGGCGCCTTCACCTTCATTCATTTCCCCTTCCAACTCATTCAACCTGTTGCAGGATTTTTTGTCAATACATCTCCAAAGAGGTTTTGGCAAGAGTGGAAGAAATGTCTTGTATGAATGGCGTTTTCATATTATTATTTTTTTTCATTTAGTAAAACTGACTAGTGTTCCTGATAGCTCCCACTAGAATGTAAATACAAAAAATGTACATAATGCTGTTCTTGATGTGAGTCTGTGTACATATGCCGCCTACCAAATTTTTTGTTGTCGTCGTCGTTCAATATCTAGTCATCTATTTTGTTTTGTTTTAATGGCACTTCCATGGATGGGGCTAGTGGGAAAGAGAAACAGCACAGCAGCAGAACAGAGGCTGTGCACACAGGAAGCCTTTGTTTTGGTCAGCAGCCACTTCAGGTAGAAACGCCGACGACCCTGGCAGAAACCCATCATCGCAAATAAGCCTTCCCTAACAGTAACCCTTCAGATACGTTGGGCGATAGCTCCCAGTTTTCTGAACCTTTAAACACAATGGTTTGCTGATATATATGAAAATAACTCTTTTTCATGTACTGTATCCATGTTTTTGTAGCACATTGTCTTCTAGAGATTTGACTGCATACCTACTATGTTTTGGGTGTGTTTTTCTGTCTCCTAGCAACTGCCTGGGCTAGTCCTTGCAATTTTCTTGGCAAGTTTTTTGGAAGTGGTCTGCCATTGCCTCCTTCCTACAGTTGAGAGGGATTGGCCCAAGGTCACCCCAATGATTTCATGCCTAAGATAGGACTAGAACTCACGGTCTCCCAGGTTCTAGACTTGTGCCTTAACCACTCCGCCAGACTGGCTCTTACTATGTACTATCCTATGCCTAAATCACTCCTTTATTTTCTGGGCTGTGGCAGCTTCTGCAGAATTCGCCTAAGCCATGAAATGTGACCTTGGAATTATTTATCTTCTGGCCATTCAACTCACCCAAACATTCCTTTCACCGTCTGCACAGTTGAGCAGGTGTAAGAAGTTCTTTTTAGTATGCTGTTGGTAATGGCTGGCCTGCTAATCAGAAAAAGGGTTTTAAAGGTTTCTTTTATATAAAGCAGCTTGATACAAATTTTAAAGAGCACTTGATCCTATAGACATTTATTTTTCTTGTGGCATCTTGGGGATTTGTATATGTCTCTGAGGTTTAAAATGTCACAGGAGAAATGTTAGACCTGGGTTATGAGATATAATTAACAGCTTCTTTAACTGTAAATTAATTTATTTAAGTCAGAATCTTGTATTTCCGAGTTCAGTCAATTTTTTTTTTCCTTTTCAAAGAAATCACAACGCTTTTTCCCCACTTGTATACTTGCATTAAATTGGATATCCGTAGAAGTGTAAAACTTTGATGGCTGATTGATTAAAATCGTACAGCCTTTTTATAGCAGACTTTTTTGCCTTTAAAATGACATACAGTGGTGAGATTGAAATATCGCTTTCCTTTGTTTTTGATCATCATGGGCTGAGGAATCAGCTGCACCTGTTGAACACCACTTGGCAACTGCCAAAGGCTGCTGCACCCTCTGTATCCCCCCAGCACTGCAGTTCACTACCGCTTGATAAGTTGGAGAAAAAAGCAGACGTGTATCAGCCAAACTAGATAAACTCTGGTTTTACACAAAATTTGCAGGTGATAATTTATACATACAGTAGATACAAATTTAGAAATAATTACCGTAATTTAAATAAAAATAGAGTACAATGCATGACAGGCATGCTTTATGTCTTAACTGTTCATAGGCAGCTTTCTTACCCGTAAATCAGCCAGAGTGCCTTCATTAGAGGATGCCTGATTTAGAGGGTTTCTTTCAGATTTTGTTCAGCCCCCCCACCCCCACCCCCACCAAGCTCTGCTAGTGGCTCATAGAAGTGTTTCATTGAAATAAATGTCAAATGAATCCCTTTGTTCCTGATGTCCTTCTAAATGGAGATGGAAAACCTTGTGTGTGTTGTGCAGTATAAGATGGGGAAACAAACTTGGCCCACAGCCTACCACATACGTTAGGCTGGTTCACACATTATCCTAAGCCATCTTTTCCTAATCTAGGTGCCTTCCAGCTTAATTGATGTGATGTTAATTCTTAGAAGTTCCTAGCCAGCTTGGCTGTTGATGAGAATTTGGGGTTTTGATGTCTGCATCAGGGTAGGCTATCTACACTTACAACAGTAGTTGGAAGTCATAAGGGGGTTGGCTTTGGCCATACATCTTGTGCAGATTCAGCTATTTTGGTGTAAACCATATTTATTTATGGTGGAGTTGTCCATTCAGAAGCCCAGGTCCATCTGACATTTGGGCAGAGTTCCTGCTCTCCCAGAAGCTGGTACCAAATTTTAATATTTAATTAATACCTATGCAAATGAAATGAAATGAAATTTAGTTTCTCTTGATCCAGTCTACTGCTTTTTTGGAATGCAGCTTCACAAATGCCATAGAAAGGCCCAACTTGTCTCTCAAATGCACATTCCTAGTTTATGGATGGTTATATCAGACAAATCCAACCAATGGTCGTTTATTCAAGATGATGGTTAAACAACACCTTAGCAGGTTGTGTGAACCAGATCACCTACTAGTTTACTAGGTCAAGGAGCAAATGCTCATAAGTGTTTCAGCAGACCAGATTATAATATTGAAGGTGAAAAACGATTACTGTTATTATCTTCCGAAATAAAGGATTTATTTTATTTATTTTTTTGCTGAGACCTTGGCGGATCCATTAGTTAGGGAGTTAGAACAGGGACAATATGTAGCATTTACAGATTTTGCATTTATGTTTTGAGAATACTTAAATAAACCTGCACAGCCACAGTCTGTAAGGACTAGAAGCTTGGGGGGGGGGGTTAATGAATTTTTCAAGAAGTTAAACTTCAAGCTTTCTAGCATATTATGCAATTGAATAGAATTGCAGATTGTACAGGAATGATATATTCCTTAAACATCAAAAGCTCTCATTATATGTTCTACAGACCTCACCACTGAATGTTACACAGTTAATGTCAACTTTTGACTTGTCCAATTGGGAGGGGAAAAAGGCTTGTTATGATTCATTATCCTATTAAATTTAATCATTATTGTTGTCAGGTCTACCTGTTTTTAACTCATCTTTTACTTTTACATGGGAAAAGAGGAGTATATAGAAGCTTAATTTAGCTTTCCCTTTTTTTCTTTCGTTATTGTTGACCTAATTTGATGCCAAATAGAAATGACCAAGACATATATAGAAGCATTTCATTTATGATTTGAATCTTTCTTCCTATTTATTTTCTTTTATTCTAACCTAATGTACCTGATGAAAGATGCAAATTAGCAAAATTCCTCCTGTTCTTAATTACAAGGTGATTGAAAAATTGTGGATTCAGCCTGCCATCACACTGCAAAGACTGTATGGGAACAGGCTTGCTGAAATTTTTAAAGTGCATAAGGTTTGTTAACTTTTCTAATCTTGGCTGTTTCCTCCTCCTAATTCCAGTTCCGCCTGCAAGATATTGACATGATGCAAATATGAAAGAGTGCTTGTGCCAAAAACTCTCTGTGCAGTGCCCCCATCTCTGGAAAGCAAGCTTTGTGTATAAATCTTATGTGTTTTCTAACAATAGTTTTGTAAATGGGAGAGGGGAATCTATAAACATATAAATAATACAGGTTTATATTTTTTGTACATTTTTAAAAAGGAAAGAAATAAATGTTCTTAAGGTATAACCATCTTTGTTGATTTTTTTCCACAGATGGAAGTCATCTCTGGGTATTTACTTACATGCCCTCAAAAGCACACACTGAATTATATATAAACCGCTTGGGCCATATTATGGCTGGATTCACACAGAACAATACACCTAATCTAGTTTAACCATTCAGGTAGTCCCTGTTTAGTGACCATTCGCTGTTATGACGGTGATGAAAAAGTAACTTTG